CTACTTTTTCATAACTGAAAATACCTAGATTCCCTTATAGCCATAATAATGCTAAAAAAACTTATTTAAAAACAAAAAAAACAAAAGAGAGACAAAATCTATAGCTATACTAGTGTGGCTGGGATCACTATCAACAAAATTAACCGGAAGTCAACACAAATCTTAAAACAAGAATCAATGGATTAAATATACTTTCCAAGTAGCTGGGTCAACTCCCCACATCCAATGGCCAAGTTTTACTAAATGTAAAAACTTGGGATGTGCCTGAATTCTGGGTCATATATAATCTGGTATCAGTATGAGACATAATGATTATCTCCAGAGTGGTAGGAATGTGGTTGGAGTTGGGAACAAGTAGAGTTTAAATCCCATTATGGACACACTATGTTTCTTATTAACTATTTAAAAAAATTGACAAACTCATTGGAGTACTACTCAGTCAAGTGTTTCGCTCAGCTTGTTAACTCAGTTTTGACAGGGACAAAATCAGCCACCAAGTTATAGCTTTTAAGAACTTGACAGGTACAACAATTTTTTGTCATATAACCAAAATAGGATGCATATAGTCTTACATGTGTCATAAAATACATGATTCTCTTCTATTGGAGAGGCACCACTGAATACGTTATTATAATATACATGCAAGCTAAAATTGTGTGCTTCGAGATCAAATGTATATTAACATCAAGATATAATAATAGTGATTTGCATACACAAGCATGACATGAATAAATGCATAAGAATCAATATGGATATGCACAGACATAAGCATGATATAGGAAAGAGTGGCTTACTATACCAGTAATTTGTGATTCAAGACTTGGGCTCAGTCACCGGGGTATTTGGAGACCACAGCACAACTGCCACCGGCCAAATTCCAATGTTAATGTACCCAAACAAACGACATAATTGGATCTATCTCAAAATAAAATGGCTTGAAAAATATAGCATTTGGAGAAAATGAATATCATTTTAATTTATATTAAATATCTTGACCAAATTATAGTCACACTTGATTAGTTATGGAGGCACACTATCACATTCTATTTAAGGATAACGAGCTGATTACCTTGATAGCGGAAAGCAGAAATTTAGAGCATGAATCTTTCAAATCATTTCTATATAGCTTTTCATGGGAAAAACGTTTGTGATAGAATGAGCCCATAGTTATTCAATACTTATTTCATTACTTCACAATGAGGCCAGTGTTCATGGCTTACATAGCAAAATCAATGCACAATCAGACTCAATCCAAAATCAATGCACAATCAGACTCAATCCATTTCTAATTCATGGTGGTTATGGACAACATTCATGGTGGTTATGAACAACAGAGTCCAGTATTAGCAAACCTGGCAAGTCCACTTGGAACTCAGCCGAGTCACCTGCACCCAGCCAGGAAGGGAGCACTACATGCCTACTCAGTGTATAGTAACTCGAATGAGCTGTGACTCTATGAGCTTCAGACATATTGCCGTTGTTTTCCAAAAATATAAGGAGGTAAGATGCCCAAAGCACATTCTTCCTCATTTCTCCTCAACCCTTCATCATATGGGAAGGCTTTATATGAGAACCCACCCACATATATAATATATGTGACCCCTAGTCTCAGCCAACAGATCTAAGCAGTTGGCTAAGATGGCTTGAGTCACAATGTCACAAATTGGCTTTTAACTGTCAAATCTTTTTTGTTTTTTGAGAGAGATGGTTAACTTCTGTTTTTGCGAATGAAAATTGATTACAAGTGTGTGATCATCCGAGAGGACCCCCTAGACAGGTCTCTCAGTAAAAAATAGGTCAGCGGACCCTGTACAAAAATAGGCGTATAAACCTGCCCGATTACAAGAGATTTACAGTAAGTTCCTGAACAAAACTTGGGCTTATAGAGATGTTTTACACTATGTGCCTTCCTTGGTCCAAAGCAAAAAAGGGGTTGGACCAGGCCTGGTCTACATCTTGGGTCCTAGCCCGGTCTCTCGCCAGTAGATCGGTGAGCTTGTTGGACGTCCTCTAGGTATGCTTCCGTGAGTCCTCTAGGTATGCTTCCATGAGACTAAGACGTCCATATCCCTATAAGTATAAGCAATTTCATCAAACATCGATGCTAGGTACCATGGAGGTGGGGTCGTCTCGGATGCTCAGGAGATGATGTTAAGAGCATATCCTTTCACTAATAGGTGTGAGGCCCAAGAATGGTTGAAGCTTTTGAGACCCAAGAGAAGGGCCATGGCTTCGGCGAATTGAGAATCTTTGTGACCAAGATACTCAGAATATGTCAAGAGGATATTGCGTTGATGGTCTCTAAAGACTCCACCGGATCCCACATGGCCGAGGTTTCCCAGAGAGCAACCATCAAAATTGAGTTTGATGGTGGCCACTTGAGGTGGCTGCCAATTGTTAGATCTTAGTGGCTTTCGTGGTTGATGGTAGAGGATGTTTTCCCATTGGATGAGAAAAGTAGTCGCTGAAATGCCCGAGAAGAGCCTGTGGCTAGATGCTTAGAAGGGTACTAGGGATGTAACCTTGTGGAATAGAGCTGGTACTTGTAATTTGTGGCCATGGAAAATCCTAGTGTTTCTTTCTTTCTAGATAACCCATATGGAGGCAGCAATGGCAGCCTTCCATAGGGCTCTTCCGGCCTTTGGCCAGTGTGCCGCAATAATGGGCAAGACGATGATCTTTCAACCCACGAGGATCTTGTGTACAAGCCTTTTCACTTTTGCACTCCGCATGGGGAGTCGAGTGATGAGGATAGTGACAGATGATCTAGATGAGGGGAACATCACTATCGGGTTTTCGATTTGGAAGATGAGATTTTTAATTTTGACACAAATTGCATGGAACCAGCAAATTGTAGATTGGGATTCACCACCAATCTTCAATATATACTCAGATGAACAACAAGATTTCTTCGGATATTCGATCTATGGAAAGGCTCAAGATGAAGATGAAAAAATTTTGGAAGAGGATGAAGAATATGGAGAGAAGGCAGCAAGAGGACTGATCAAATCATGGCCTTTGAAGATCCCATTAATATTGAAGAGGTAGTGCATTCAAGATATCCAGGGTATTGAAATCAAATTAGTGCAGTGGAAGCATGGTTGAATCAAAATCTATAAATTGTGGCCTTAATTCCTCAATATACATATCGGGATCCATTTTTTGAGGAATTATTTTTACCATGAATAATCTTTGAGCCAACAAATAAGATGGTTTTGCCGCTGATTTCATCTTAGCACACTTCAAAATTTGACGAAGAGTTTTTTCCAGCCACGGAAAAATGATCGAGGAAAAATTATTCTTAGGTTTATTTATATTCAACTTTAAAGGATATATACGATAGTTTTAGTTTTAAGATTTATTTCTAGGGTTTTTTAGATTTTACGAATTTGAGGGTTTTTTTATTTTTTATTTATTTCATAAAAATACTAATCACAAATACTATTTGCGAATACTGTTCACAAAGATAAAACTGCCAATACAAAATTTAAGTTTAAGTTAAGATATATAGGTCATTTAAATCATTGAATTGACATGTAATGTCTTTGAACATTGAATTGTAATATATAAAGAGGTGTGTAAAGCCTTGAAAGGTTTACACATGATTTATAGAAATTGAAAGAGAGAAAAACTTATAATTTTGAAACCTTGGCTTAGAGTATGGAGAAGAAACCCTAGGTTTCTTTGAATTATGCTTGTGTTTGGCTTTAATCCTTGCTGATTTTACTCTTCCTTGAAATTTCCCTACATCAGTCCTGGCCTGGCCTTGCAGTATATTTTTGGGTTGGGCCCGGGTCTATGTTTGCCCGGTCAGGTTTGGGCCCAAAGAATATTTTCTTGTCCCGGTCTGGTCTAACTTTCAGCATACACCACTATGATCCAGTGTATATTGTCGCAAACGAGTTGTATAGATTACGACATACAATTATTATAAGCATTCAATGCATGTTGTCATTTGGATTCAGAAAATCCCCCCGCATCACGCTCTCCCACAACCTCTTAATAAATTCCCCATGCTTTAATCCTATCACTATCATAATTTTCCTTTATCAAATCATTGTTTACCTTCCAAAAGCCTTCTTCCCATCACCCACCAACTCTTCCCTTCTTTCTTATCTCTCAAGTCCACCTCTTTTCTCCCATTTCCTCTTTTACATCTCTAACCATCTCCCCTTCTTCCATATCTCTCTGCGTGAAATCCCATTCCCTCCATTTCCCCTTTTCCCATCACCCACCCTCTCCTTCCCTCTCTCACACCTTCTAAAAGGATCCCTGGTTCTACACTCTCCACAATGATTCACTTCAGAGGAGTCGCACGTAAAAGCCACACAGCAACAAGGTACGTCTATCACTGTTGATATGGGTTAATAGTTGTTTTTAAAGAGAACGCGATAACAGGTGTGTTTTTTGTGAGAGAGAGAGAGAGAGAGAGAGTTGGGTTGTTAGTATAGGTTAACAGTTGTGTTTTTAGAGAAAGAGCGATAGCTAGCTGTGTGTTGTTGGTGAGAGAAAGTGAGAGAGATGGGTTGTTGGTATGGTTAATAGTTGTGTTTTTAGAGAGAAAGCGCTAGCGAGTGTGCTTTTGGTGAGAGCGAGGGAGAGAGTTGGGTTGTGGGTATGAGTTAACAGTGGTGTTTTTAGAGAGAGAGCAATAGTGGGTGTGTTTTTGGAGATTCCCAGACAAAAGGTACCATTGTTGGAGATGGTTCTGTTTATCTATAAAAAGAAATATATTCGAAGTTTTTGGAGATTCCCAGACAAAAGGAACCATTGTTGGAGATGGTTCTGTTTATCTATAAAAAGAAATATATTCAAATGCTCTATTTTCGAAGGAACAATTTGATTTTCAACCGACAATTTAGTTTGCAGTCTTCACAATCGCCTCTAGTATGTATGAAATACACCAATATTAATAAACAAAATTAGATATTTGATTTTAATCTCAAGAAATCTTTCCAAATCAATAAACTATGGTGAAACAGAAAATGCACAAAGGATATCTTTAAAGTCTTGCTAATTTTCATCCTTTTCAGATACTTAATTTACAGACCATTGTCCCGTGAATTATTGGCTTGTAAAGAGGAAGATTGTTAGCTTCAAAAATTAAAAAAAATATGCATCTGAGACTGATATTTCTCGAGAGAGAGCGATAGTGGGTGTGTTTTTGGAGCGAGAGCTGCTATTGGACTCTAACCTAATGTTCTTCAAATTTCTTTTTTGCATTTCTATATTTACCACTTATTTTCTATTGTACTCCAACCTGATGTTCTTCAAAGTTCGTTTTTGCATTTCTATCTTTACCACTTATTTGCTAGTGTACTCTGACCTGTTGTTCTTAAAATTTCCTTTTTTGCATTTCTGACTTTAATACCTTGGTCATGATAAGTATTGTTTGTCAGTGACATTTTCTCAGTTAAAGTAGACTAAACAACATTTATTGGGGATCGAATCAAGGGCATGGGTAATATGTACGATTCTTGGAATCATTGAACAAATATAACGGGGTTATACTATACATCTTTATACCATCTGCGCACACAATCAGAAAGAAACAAACTCTAGGTATGTACCTCATGAGTTCTCTTTGTACCATAGTATAGTATAACAGGGTTATACTATACTTCTTTGTACCATCTGCGAACACAATCAGAAAGAAACAAACTTTAGGTATGTACCTCATGAGTTCTCTTAAGAGGAGTAAGTGTGCAAGATTTGAACCATTTGCGGGATGCGTTTTTATTACTGTCATTATGCTGATTCTAGCCAGAGCATTTCACAAGCCACAACTTTCCTAGTTCCAAATGGAAACTACTGGAAAATATATAGAGAACAAGCCTTGGATCTTAAATGGAGCACCCAAGTACAGGTGGCTAAATCTCAATTAATAGGTCAGCTAACTATGGCCAAAACACATGTAAGATATGAGGAACTTAGTGCATGAAAAGCAAACCTTGGAACTTAAAAGGAAGCTACTAAACTCTAGGTTAGTGAAGGTCAATTAATAGCTCAGCTAACTTTGATCCTAACACATCTTAGATGTTAGGAAATTAGTGTACGGAAGGACCCTCAAGATGCTATTCGCAAAAACCTTGATAGTACTACCAAGTTTGTACAAGGCCACTTCCCCCATGCTAGAATCAGAAACTAAATTACAAATGAAGTTGCTATAAGCCATTCCCCCATGCTAAACCAAAACTACCTTGAAAATTGATCATTAGCCACCCCATGAGGAGGGCAGCACATACAAGCTTATTAACGATAAAGTTAATATCTCCTTGCCGGCATTTATAATGGAAGCAGAACTTCGTGAGCAAAACATAACTTGAATTCTTCCTTTTTTTGAATTTTTTTCCTTTTTTTGAATTTTTTTCCTTTTTTTGAATTTTTTGGCCTATGTATATACTTCTTTTGGGGGTGTATAGCATTACTTGAATTCTTCCTTTCTGATTTTTTTGGCCTATGTATATACTTCTTTTGGGAGTGTAGCATTACACTACGTGAGTACAGTTTTGCCTGCTGTCTCAACCGTCCACTCTCATTAAATGATGATTGAGAGGAACCATGCCTTTTTTCACCAGGTAACGATAGAGTAGGGTGTGGTGATGGACAATCCCAAACCAGTGTTATTAAGAATGAATGTTTGAGACTACATGCAGTTCACTGCTTTTGTATTGCATGTATGATATACTTTCCCATTCCTTTTACCACCCTTGCTTGCCTAAAACATTATTGGTGAAATTATAATCACAAATAATGATTAGCATGAAGCATGTTCTCCATTTAAAAGCGCATGACAGATAAATCAACAGATAAATAAACATAAAATAGGATGAAGACAAGCAAAAAGATCATATGCAAAAAAGAGGAGTACCATCACATTACGAACTCCAAACATCTTAAAATTTGTAAAAGCCAAGTGTGGCATGCACAAATACTATGCAGTAACAAGCATGTAACATAAAAACATGACAGATAATGCATTCAAATTTAACTGATTTTGCAAGCAAGATGTGACCTTGCAAATTAAAAGGGCTACATGAGGAAAACATGAGGATGCCACAAATGGATTTACCTTCCAAAACAAAGCGTAACTTACAGCTAGGAGTGGTGAGCTTGAGGGTCCTGAAAAAAATAAGGTATACAAGACACATTAAATACCAGTGCATCGAGCAGGTAAATTTTGACATAACAAAAAGAAATTTATGCTTAATAATGACCATTTATTATGAAAATACAAATGTTCAACAACAAAACAACTAGATCAACCAGCAAAAGAAAAAGAACATAAACACACTGCAAGAATATTAAACACAACCACTTGGTGGAAAAAAAAAACCTCCAAAAAAAATCAACCAAGTATATTATCAAAAACAACTCAAGAAAATGCCCTCAATCAGTAGAAAATGAAAATATGTGTTATAATGGTTGGATACCACAATCTTCTGCAATTGGAGAAAAAGATCCCCTTGCATAAAACATAATATATAAAATTCTCCTGATTATTTATTACTTAAGCAACACATTTCAATTCATTGCATAAGTACCTAACAAGATTAGGATTCTAAGCAATAAAAGCCCCATAACAAATATCCACCTCAAATATACTTAAAATAATTACAAGAAGCTTATAGCCAATGCATACCAAAATTTCAGGAATAAATCATACATGACCCCATGTATAAGAACATAAAAAGCACAAAGAATGGCACTAAATCAGTAGATAATAGAATAAGATAAAATATTAGCTTGATAACCCAATCATCTACAATACCATGAAAAAAATCTTCAAAGAAAAATAAACATGTGTATGAACAAAAACAGCTCAAAAGAAGCCCTAATAAGTAGAAAATGAAAAAAAAAACATATCATATTGGTTAATACCACATTCTTCTAAAATTGTTGAGGCCGATGACATTTTTTAATGGATAAAACCGCCATAATTGATAAGTATTCCATAAACCTTATACATGGATCGGTTAAGCTTATCTTCGAAGAGAAAAAGCTTATCTACCAGTAGAAAAGAGCTCGTAAGATAACATTCAAAAAAAGCATTTGAACATCAATCCTTTACTTCAGCCATGATAAGTGTATGCGAAAATATTGCATAATCCTTTACTTCAGCCATCGATGGATAAGATGTATATATGTATGCAAAAAATTTGCACAACCAATAAGGCATATTTCCCAATTTCAACAAGAAAACCATAGAGAATGAAGTCGAGGAGCATGGCAGATACAATTCAGTTTCTCACATAGCAAAGATATGAAAATATTAGATCTAAGAACATATTGCATTACATACTAATTTACTTCCAAACAAAATTTATCAAACTGATGTGTGATCCAGCGATGATAAATAAACATGACAACCAACAATGATAATGAACAATGACATGTGGTATACATAAATCATTTAGTCACAGTTGATTTATTCATATGGTCGACAAAAAGGAAGGACACATAAAATGCATAGCCATTATATCAAATGAAAATCCCAAAAAAAGTAAAAGAGAACTCAGAATAGAAAACCATACCCATGTAAAAAATGGTGATCACACCTGTACAGTTACTGGCTAAAATAAAAGGTGCAAAACTACATCTGTGAAGCCCAAAAAACAGAGCATTTCATAAAAAATTTGAAGAGATACTACTCAAAAGTGACAAGTATAAGTTATAACCAGTTAGGACAAACATGTACCGGATGTAATCCTCACACAAAGAACCCATCATCAGGTGTTCAAGAAAAAAAAAATCTAAGAACAAGAACAAGAAACCCTAGCATATCAGACTCACGTACTAGAACTCCAACACAAATAATACAGTAACCAGAATTTATAAAACAAAAAAGGTCAAAACCACCAAAAATATAGCAAATAAAACACCATCCAGACAAAGCAGCAGCGAATACAATGAACATTGCTCCAATTTATCAGTTAACTATGCATTTCTGTTGTTGTTTTGCAGAAGAAAAATCAGATTTACAAGCACAAAAAAATCACGAACTAATCAGGGAATTGAATCAAAACAATCAGAGAACTTGATGTCAAGCACTCAAAAGAATCAGTTAACCATAAATCTAGATTTACAACACCGAAAATCCACGAAATAAAGCTATTGCAGTGCCCTAGAACTCTATTTAAAAACAAAAAACAAAAAATCACTGATTTAGGGTTTATCAGTGAGTAAACTCACTGATTTAGGGTTTATCAGCAAAAAACGTAACAAAAAAGTCGTATAATACTGCAGCCAATGGGGGTTTACCATCATAATAAACTGTAAAAAAAAAAAACTAAAAACTCACTGATTTGGTTTTCTTCTCTAATTTGGTTTTCTTCTCTAATTTGGTTTTCTTCTCTGAAATTTCTTCTCTGCGAGTGATTTTCTTCTCTGAGTTTTTACGCTGCGAGTGGCTTTTGATGCAGGGCTTTACTTGCAGTGAGAGTAACGAGAGAGAGATTGGCCCAATCCCCATAATAGGCTTGAAAAAAAGGCCAGGGTTTGAAAAAAAGGGCGCACAGTTGGCGTACGGACGCCTTCGCAGGTGTAGAGGTACGGTGCACGTCAAATTTTATCATGGCATGGTATATAGTTTTGATGTGAAATGTTATTAGAACTATTTCAAAATTTATTTTTATATTTAATTATAAAATTTTAAATTTAAAAAATGGTTCAAGTAGATCTATAAACATATGAAAATCTTGAAAATAGACTGAATAGATAATATGTTGTAAAATACACTATTTTTTAGGCTTAAAATCTTTTTATTTTTCATAGTCATATAACTCGACATCGAGATGATCAACCAAAGGGTTTTTCAATATTAAAATTACCTTTTTCGATGGAATTTTTAGAGGCATTCATAGTTCTACATTATAAGGTAGCATCCTTATATAAACTTTTTTCTTGAAAAAATTTGTTCCAAATATAAGTTATCGGAGCTCTAATCGCCCCGGTTTCTTGTTGACTTATATAAACAAATCCATACCGTCCAAACAAACTAATGGACGATGAGAAGGGTTGCGGCTTTAGTTATTTCTATGGGTTGCACCCCTATCAAATCATTTTTTTTCACTAAGGGGTCGTTTGGATACTTTGAAATATATTGTTTGTGAAATATATTACTGGCGTAATATATTACTGCATAATACATTACTTGCAAATGGATTGTTACTGTTTGGGTAGTATTTAGATGCAACTTGGGAAATACATTGCTACTGTTTAGCTATGTTTGTAAGAAATATGAGAAATGCATTACCAACATTTTACCAGCACGTGTCTATAAACTATCATTTCTTTCTTTTTTGTCACAAAATTTCATTGAAATGCAGAATTAAAGTTATCATCACACCAGTCCAAAAAGAGTTTTTAATAATAACATTACCACCATTCCAAACAGATTTTTTTAATAATAATTTGTACCATTCTAAAGTCATCATTTCCTACTTATTTTGCATGCTTTTGGCACTTACATGGAATCACATGTCTTCTAACATTATTAGACTTTGGTTTCAACATGATTAGACTTTAGTTTCTAACATGA